GACCCAACTCCACTTGCAAAGTGTCAGAAGGGTGCAGGTCCTCCAGCTGGGATCCTAAATCCTCCTAAATGCTGCTCTGATTTGGCTTTTTGGGTGGGAATCACATTCAAGGGTTTTTTTCTCCCCTTTTTGTGCCAGAAATTCTGTAGATTTTTAATGTGTGGATACCTGTGTGAGGATTGGGGGCAGCTGAAATGAAAATTATGAGCATCTTGGAATCTAAAATGCTGATTTCTAATCCTCTGCTCCTTTTGTCTCCCTTGGAAAATGGCTGTGCTCTAAAAAAGTCATTTTTTGGGGACATTTTTAGCATACAGCTAGTAAAGAAACCCTCCCAATTCTGTGGCATGAGAAACCAGCCATGAATTTTTTTTTTTTGTTATTCCAGTCAGCAGATGTTGTGTTTCACTCTCAGCCTCCCCTTCCCTTCTCTTCTGGTACACTCTGCTCTGAAATCCTGGAAGAGAAACTTTGTTCTCAACAAAAAGCTGTCTGAAACATCTGAAATTTGTGAGTTTTGGGCCCAATCCCCACTGCAGCCCAAAAAAAAATGAAGAGGGAGAAGGTTGTGAACTGGCTGTAACAAAAAGAAAAGGTGGCTGAGCTCTAGAACATTTATTTCATCAAAAGAAAAGGCCAAAAGGCTCTAAAGGAAACATTTGTTTCCAATTCCAGTTACTCTTTCAGAAGATCTTCCTTTTTTTTTTGGTCTCCTGAAGCTCATGAGCTCTTGCCAGGGTCTGAGGTCTCCTTTTCATTTTCAGGTGCTTCAGGTCAGCTCTAGCAGCATTTTTGAGCTGGGGGTTTGAAGTAGGTGAAGATTTATGTGGGGTTTTTTCCCCAATTTTCCTTTTATTTCCTTTTAATATCTTCTCCAGGTCAAGTTTCCCACCTCTGTTGCTTGAGCTGATCCATCTCATTCACAAAATCCATGTTCTTCATGAAAACAACTTTTTTTCCTGTAGTTTGTTGGGTTTACTCCTTGTCTTAGATTTTTTTTACTCCTGTATCTTGCTCAGCCTTAGGAAAACTCCTTGATTTTGGGCTGGATTGATAGAGAAACAGATGGATCCATTGATAGGCACCAAAGAAACCTTTATTAGAGTTTGTGCTTGGTTCTTGAAGCAGAGATTTTGGTTTCCAGATGAGGGAAATGGCCTCCAGAGCTTGTGAGCAGCCTTCCCATGGGGAAACCTTCTCAGATGAGGTTGGATGGAGCTCTGAGCAGCTCTAGCTGGAGATATCCACCCCTTCCAACCCATTCAATGACCCCATGTTGTCCTCCTTCTTCTACCTCAACAAACCCAAGCTTGTGTGACTCCAGCATCTGCTTCACTTGAGCTTGAAGCTCTTCTCTGGAAACCAGCATGTCTAAAAAACCTTTCTGTGGTTCCAACTGGATGCCAACAAGCAGGAATCTGGCACCTCACCACTGGGAGAAGCCAAAAATCCAGAGTGAAAGAAGCTCCTCAGGCTGGTGGACCAAACTTGGTCACTCTGTTTAGTGTGAGTCACCCTGAAATGTTCCAAAATCAGGCGTGGGGCTTTGATCACTGCAGCCTAACTAAAACCCTTCCATTCTGGTAAGATAATGAAGGGTCAGGAGACAGGGAGAGAGAAAAACTTGGGTCTCAAATGCTGATTTTTTTTCCTTGAAGGATCTGTGTCATCTTCTCCATCTCTTGGAATGACTTTATCAGCTGAGGGTTTTTCCCCCACCTCTCTTCTACTCACTAATTTACCTCCTTGCAGACTTTCTTGGGGGATCATTATAGCTGGAAGTGAAAGGTGGTTGGTTGTGCAGCTCTTCTGAGCTGGAAGCCTTCTCAGAAACCACAACCACCCTCCAGAGCTCCCAAATTTTGGCGTTGGGATGGTCTCCCCATCCCATTTTTGAACCCTTAATTGGAGGAGCTCTAATTGCTGAGTGCTGCAGCATCCCTGATGATCAAAGATGATTTTTCTTTACCATTTATCACCCAAAAAAATACACCCTGGTGAGGGGCAGGAGCTCAGGTGGCCCAGGGGAGAAGCTGGTGGTGGTTGGCCTCATCCTGCCTTCAGGAGAGGTGCTGTGCTCTGCTGGGGCATCTCTCAGCTGCATAAAAAGACTTGAAAACTTCCTTTCAACAGGTTCTGGTTGAGAACTTTTAGCCCCATTTGGGCCACCTCCTAAAAAGTTTATCACCCAAAAAAATACACCCGGGTGAGGGGCAGGAGCTCAGGTGGCCCAGGGGAGAAGCTGGTGGTGGTTGGCCTCATCCTGCCTTCAGGAGAGGTGCTGTGCTCTGTTGGGGCATCTCTCAGCTGCATAAAAACTGAAAACTTCCTTTCAACAGGTTCTAATTGAGAACTTTTAGCCCCATTTGGGCCACCTCCTAAAAAGAGGTAAAAATTTTCCTTGTAAATCTGATTTTTGGAAGAGTTTCCAGTCAATGAAGGTGGGAGGGGAAAGAATTGATCTTGGCTGGAAGGAGATGAAGATGCCCAAGTGGCATCTAGTGCCAAAAATGTTGTGGGCTCAGTTTCCCTGCTGAAGGAGCTGGAAGCATTGCACAATTTAGTCCCTTCTTTAGGAAGTCCATTAATTATTCTTTGCTTGTTAATCAAGTTGGGCAGCACCAAGCTCTGCTCATGTTGTGACCTTCCACCATCTCCAGAGGGCCTACAGAGAAGCTGGGGTGGGGCTTTGTAGTGGTAGGACAAAGGGGGAATGGCTTCAAACTGGAAGAGGAGAGATTTGGATGAGAAATGAGGAAGAAGTTCTTCCCTTTGAGGGTGGTGAGACCCTGGAACAGGTCACCCAGAGAGGTGGTGGCTGCCCCCATCCCTGGAACCATCCCAGGGGAGGTTGGATGGAGCTCTGAGCACCCTGCAGATGTCCCCGTGGTGTGATGGGTTCCTGACCTTGTGGTTTGTGCCATGACTCTGTGTGGTGGGGCTTCCAAGCTCTCCTTGAAGACCAAACCCAGACTCATTCAGAAACGTTGGCTTTGGGATGTGGCAACTTTCTCCAGCTCTAACTTCCCAGAGAAAGCTGAAGAGTTGACTCTGTGGAGTCAGCTCTCCATTCAAACCAACTTTCTGCTCCTTGAAAGCCTGGTCCTGGCACTGCAGAGGAGTCCAGGCAACGTTTGGCCTCTTGTTTTCTAGATCTGGTGGCTCAGATCTTAAAAGCAAAGCTCTGCCCACCTCAGGCTGTGAGGAAAGGAAGCCAAGAAGCTTTTTCTTCACACCAGAGAGGTTGGGAAACGTGGCTCTGGCCAAACAATCCTGGGGAGTTGGTAGCTGGAATGGAGAAATGGAGCTGCAAAATTCTGAGTTTCCAAAACATGAGGAACATCTTGTGGAATGTCAAGTTGTAGGAATTGGGGAAGGTCCTTTGGGAACTAGAAGTGAGTAGGCTGTGAAGTGTGGTGGATAATAATCAATTGGATAATAATCAATTGGATAATAATTAGATATTGGAATGGAGTGGATCAAAGTAAGCTGTGAAATTGGAGAGTCATTGCTGCACATCAGGGTTGGGGTGTCCCAGGAGAAGAGGGCTTGGACCCCTGTCAGAACTTGAGCAGCATTTTGGGGGTGAGGGTGGGTTTAAGGTGGCTCCTTGGAGCAAGGAATGGGAAGCTGAGCAGATGAGCAGATGTAGGGAAGGGCAGGAAGGAGGTGAAGGGGATAAAGGTGCCATCAAGAGGCTCTGGTGGGAGGTGGAAGCTTCTGGGTTGGGTCTCTCCTGCAGCTTCTTCCCCTTCAGGCAGAACTTTGTTGCCTCTCTGCTCCTTGTCCCCTCCTCGGCGTGGCTCTGCCCGTGCTGGGAAACCTCCTGGGCTCCTCTGGGCACCTTCTGCTGGAGGTAGGGCCTCCAAAGAGCCTTCCTGAGGAGCTGTTGAAGATAATGAACTTCCTCTCCAGCTGTCCTGGAAACAAAGGGGTTGTTGTGTTCAGCATTTGTCCTTTGCTGGGGCCCTGCAGAGAGCAGCTCTTCCTTCCCTCTCTTCCAACCAGCATCTGTATAGTGGCTGTTTTTATTCTGAGTAGAACAAAATGCATCTTTTAAGTGTCTTTTGAACTCTGAAACGATATCACAAGTGGCACCTTGAGTGCAAGGGACTGACAGAAGAAGATTTTGAGAGATTTCCTAGAGCCTGATGGTGGTGAGATGTTTAAAGGTGGAAAAAAAGACCCAACTTCACTCTGTCATTGCTTAAAACACCCACCCCCCTGCAACCCTGGCTTGTGGTTGCTTCAGAAAGGGGTTCACCACGAGCCAACACTCAGTGCCATGTGCTTTGGAGTTTGGTTTTCACCCAGAGGATTGTCCCATGAGCTTTTCTTCTGGTTGAGGAGAGAAATGCCACGTAGGCCTCATTCCTGTGTGTCCTATTTACCCAGCCAACCCTATCTGAACCACTTGAACTCCTCCTTGGATGGTTGAGGGAGTGGCTCCTTCATCCCACAAGGTTTAAATGACACTGGTAATGGGAAGCAGATGAGGAGTTCTCAGGAAATCCATCATTTTATCTCCAGCCTACGTGGGTTGGGAGGCAGACCTCACACTTGTAAATGTTTCATTGGCTCTTGGGTGAGAAGCTGCTGGAGGAGGAGACTCGTAGGTGGCTGAGCCTCCTCTCCCAGGATCTTAGAAATACCTGGATACCTCATAAATTTGGGAAGAAAAAATGAATCCCAGCACTATTTCTAGGCTCACCCTGCTGGTGTTTGGCAGAGAGAAAAAATCCAACCACATTTATCCCCCCCCTGAGAGCAATCCAGGAGGAGATGGGCTCAAACAACCCCAGAGATGTTCCTCAAACACCTCCTGGCTCTGAGTGCCAAAGGGCTGTTCGACCACGGGAGTTGTCCCTGCTTCTCCAAGGGGCAGAGAGCAAACCAACTGCTCCTCCTTTCCCTCCTGGCTTCCTTGAAACTCAAACCAGCTGAAAAGCAGGTGGCTTTTGTTTCACTGAACCTTTTTTTTTTGTGTTTCCTCGGCCCAGGTTGCAAGATCAAAGCCCTGAGGGCCAAGACCAACACCTACATCAAGACCCCCGTGCGTGGAGAAGAACCCATCTTCGTGGTGACTGGCCGGAAGGAGGACGTGGCCATGGCCAAAAGGGAGATCCTCTCAGCAGCAGAACACTTCTCCATGATCCGTGCTTCACGGAACAAAAACGGCCCCACTTTGGGGGGTCTCCCTTGTACCCCCAACCTCCCCGGCCAAACCACCGTCCAAGTCCGGGTGCCTTACCGCGTCGTCGGCCTGGTGGTGGGCCCCAAAGGTGCCACCATCAAAAGGATCCAACAGCAAACCCACACCTACATTGTCACCCCCAGCAGGGACAAGGAGCCCGTGTTTGAGGTGACGGGGATGCCCGAGAACGTGGACAGGGCTCGGGAGGAGATCGAGCTGCACATCGCCCTCCGCACCGGCGCCTACGTGGAGCTCAGCCAGGACAACGACTTCCACTGCAACGGCACCGACGTGGGCTTTGAGGGAGGGGGGGGACCCCCCAATCCAGGTTCAGCTTGGCTCCCAGCCCACCCCGGCCCCCCAGCTCGAGCCAGGATGATCTCCAGCTACAGGAACGACAGCTCCAGCTCGCTGGGCAGCGGCTCCACCGATTCCTATTTCGGCGGCAACCGCTTGGCGGATTTCAGCCCCACCAGCCCCTTCGGGGGGTTTTGCTTCGGGGAGACGCTGCCCCCGGGGGGGGGGGGGGAATCCATCCCTAGCTTGTTTTTCTTCGGGGAGACGCTGCCCTCGGGGGGGGTGGAGGATCCATCCCTCGACTCTTCCCCCTACGACTCCTTCCCCACGGCTTCCCAAACCATCTGGAGCCCTTTTGAACCTCCAAACCCCCTCGCCGGTTTAGGGGGCGAGCCCCTCTCTCAACGCCGAGGGAGCCAACCATCCACCCCCCGCCTGTCGCCCACCTTCCAGGAGAACCCCGAGCATCCTCTGGCCAGGAGCGGCAGGGTTTCAGGAGTGACCCACCTCCTCCCTGCCACCCTTCTGGCCTTCCCATCTACATCCCAGCTTTCTCCAACGGTACCAACAGCTACTCCTCTTCCAACGGGGGCTCTGCCTCCAGCTCCCCCCCCGAGCCCCGGCGGAAGCACGACTGCGTCATCTGCTTCGAGAGCGAGGTGGTGGCCGCCCTGGTCCCCTGTGGCCACAACCTCTTCTGCATGGAGTGTGCCACCCAGATCTGTGAGAAGGAGCCACCAGCCTGTCCCGTTTGCCAGACAGCTGTTACTCAGGCCATCCAGATCCACTCTTAAAAAAATATAGCTCCAGAAAGAAGAGATTCTATGGAATTTTTAGACTCGGAAAGGCACGGGGGTCATGGGACCCTCGAGTAAAACTTCCTAATGAGTTCTGACTGTTGGGTTTTCTTGAGATTAGGCTGAAGTTGTTGATGAATTTCTATTTTCTCAAAAAAAAACAACAATAAACCAACAGCAGGCTGCTGTGGTAACACTACACCAAGGTGGTCTCTGCCCAGTGCGAGCAGGCGGCGGGCTCAGCAGACCCACATCTGCTCAACAAGGGGGGATTTTCAACAGGAAGGAAAAAAAAACCACCAAACTCACCCATTTTACAGAATTTGAAGGAGCTCTGGGCGCTGGCAGCAACGAGCACAGAAGTTCTCAGTCTGCTGCAGAGGGTTTGTGGCATTATTGAGAGATCAACCAACAACACTTCCGACGCTGCCTTCTTTACACTGCCAGTATTGAAACAAAAACAGGTTTGGGGAAATAGTTCCTTTTATTTTTTTTCCCCCCCCTTAGCTTCCTGCGACAACTTAACGCCTAATTCTTCAAGATTATTAAAGAAAAAAAGACCTTTTTTCCTTATTTTTTGTTTTTTAAAGCACAGTTTGATTTCTTGTGACACTCCGGGCAGGTGAAACGAGGGGCGAGAGGAGCCGCCCGCCTCGCCCGGGTGGATCAGGGACATCTCTCAGATCTGGGATTTTCCTACCCACTGCTCTTCTGAACGTGACGTGGAAGAGGAGGGGATGAAAAAGAAGTCTTGGCTGCCTTTCCTCCTGCTTCAGAAGGGCTTTGGGAGGCTGGGACTCATCGTGGGGACGCCGACATTCCGTTCGTTGGGCCGATCAAGCTGTTCTTAAATTACCTTTTGTGGTTTTGTTTTATTTTTTAGAGAGAAGAGAGTTGAAAATGTGAAGCATTTTTATGTTCCATCCGTCTTTGTCTTGCACATCTCTAGAGATTCTATTTTTGAGTAGGGAAAAGGAGGAAGAACACATAAAAAAAAGAAAGAGGGAGGGTGGGGAGGAGCTGGGGAGGTGCCCTGGGTGTTGCTCCCGCCAGGAGCTCGGACGGCGACTTCATTTCAAAACTGTCTTGCCCATCAGCAAGGAGATGATGAAAAATTTCACCTGCACTTCAGACATTTCAACCTGTGGATGTTTCCAGCTGGGTTGTTTTCATCCTCCTTCTCTTCCCCAAGCTGTGCTGGCATCTTGAAACAACAACAAGACACCAAACGGGAGTTCTGGTGGATTTTTCTATTATTTCCTTGGGGGTTTTTTTTTTCCTCCCAGAGCCAAGACAGAGCTTTATTTTTTTTTCCCTTTTCCAGCTTACCAACAACTCAACCCCTTCCCCCCCTCTCCAACTCATCACTAACTCTTATTTTTGATTTCCACTTGAAGAAGAGAGTTACATTTCCTATCAAAGTTTACAACCCCACGGGGGGAGTGGGTTTTTTTTTGCAGTCGAGGCTTTTTTGGCTCTCCAGAGCTGCCTGGAGGGGAGGGCAGGTGACCTAAAACCCCCAGAGAGAGCTTCTAGAGTAGTTCCACGTCAGTATTGAAACCTCAACCTCCAGCCATGGTCCACGTGGCCAGCAGGACAACCCTTCCCCCCCTCCCCCAGCATGACCTTCCCCATCTCCTCACGTCCCACCAACTCGAGGCTAGTGGAGGAGTTGCTCATTTTACTACACTTTTATTTTGGGGTTTGTTTTTTTTTTTTGGGGGGGGTTCTGTAGAGGTAGGGGAGGTCCGTAGGGATTATAAATTCAATTTGAGTCAAGTTGAAAAGGAAAAAAGGACAAAAAAAATCCATATATTTTATGATAAAGGGCCTTTAACTTATGATGGCCAAAAGCACTGATATTATATATTTGCTGTAAAGAGAATTATAAGAGTTTTATTTTTCTGATATTAAAAGTTACTTAATAAAGACTTGTTTCCATTAACTTGAAGGGTTTTTTGCTGGTTTTGTGGTTGCAGTTTGGAGCTGGTGGAGTCCAAGGGTTGTGGTTGGAAAGGGCCTCCAGGAGCAGCAAGTCCAACCCTCCAACATCTCCCTCACCACTAGACCAGAGCCTGGAGTGCTCCAGCTGCTTGTTGTCTGAACCCCTCCAGGGGTGGGGACTCCACCACTGCCCTGGGCAGCCTGGCACAGCCCTGCACAGCCCTTGCCAGGGAGACATTGCTCCTCAGGGCCAACCTCAACCTCCCCTGGGGCAACCTGAGGCTGTTCCCTCTTGTCCTGTCCCTTGTTCCTTGGGAGCAGAGCCCGACCCCCCCCTGGCTCCCGGCTCCTGTCAGGAGCTGTGCAGAGCCAGAAGGTCTCCCC